GCCACTGCACTCCAGTATGGGTGACAGAGTGAGACTCCAACTCAAAAAAAAAAAAAAATTAAAAAAATAACATTATGTTTGACTTTGTGCAGAGTAGCTGATACTGATGAAGCATTCCCTTTAGAAATTACTCTAGAAATGAGCTCTGAAACCACTGTTTGCTCTGAGTAATATTTAAAAATCAAGAAAGTTACTCACTGGGATCGGTCTTTGATAAAGTTCTGTCTGGCCTTTCTTAGTCACTCTGACCATAGATTTGTGTTGTTGAGGGAAGAGAGGCACTGTGATGACTCTACCCACCTACATAGGGAAATGGAGTCCCTCACGGGACTTGCTCACTTGACAGCCTCTGTAAATGACTATAGACACAATTGACTTTAGTCATTTATTTAATGTTGTGGGCACCTGATATTTAATTGTACATTGTATCATCTATTTTCTTATAAGACAATATTTGAATGACTTTTTTGCAGTGTTTTCATAAATAATGATTTTATGCATGACTTTGTATATAATTTTTCTTCTAAAATTTGATTTCTATAAAGATTCTCAAATGAGAATATGTATGTGTGTGTATATATACATATATTTATATACTTTTAAACTATCTTATGCAAATTTCTAAAATATATTTCTACAAACAGTGTAAAAATAGTGTTTGTACATTATTCATCTGTAGAAGATGGTATTATTTTAAAATATCCACTGATTTAATAGGTTAAAATATTTTCTCTTTTTTCAGTGAAGAAAAATTGTATTATTTTACATTGCATTATTCCACAATATTTGAATATTGCATTGACCACCTTATCTGGTGTACCTAGTCATTTTCTTAACATGGTAATTAAAGCGTTTCATATTTGAAGTGGTTTAGGGTCATACATTTTGGGCTGACAGAACATTTAAAGTGTGGTACTGCATTTTCTTATGTAACTTGGCACCTGGAAGTTAGGTAAAATGTTGCTGAATATATAAAAGAGTAGAAAACAAGAAATGCTATTGAATCTTCTTTGCCAGAGAAATCCTTACAGACAGAACAAGTTACCATCTAGGTGGGAGACTGAACACGTCCGTGCTTCAGTGCAGCAAAGTGGAGAAGTTAGACTATCTCCACAATCTTTTGAGGACTTTGAATTCTTGAATTAGTTCTTATCTGATCCTGCTGGCAGAACTCTGAGGTACAGTTCAACAGTATTGGGAAGGAAGCCTCTTTAGAGCAATGTTTATGAAATTAAAGAGTAAGTGTGGGCTCAGAGTGGTCCCCAGAATTAGAACCCTGGGACCCAGTAAGAAAACTAAACTTCAATTAATAACATCTGAAAGTCTAAAAGTTCAAGGTTATTGATGTCTTGAGGGGACCCAGGCCTAGAATAAGAACCAGGATTTTTGCATGAGGGAGCTTTGGAAGAATGCAGTGGAGAGCACTGACACCACTCCAAATTTAGTTAATAGTTGACAGCTGCCACTTACCCAGGGTTCACCTAGTGCTAGGCTCTGTTCAGAGCATTTCTGTGCATCATATCTCTTAGTTTTCATACCAGCTCAGTGAGAGAGAAATGTGTCTACAGCATTACAATGAAAGCAGTGGGCTTAGAATGACGAAATTTCTTTTCTAAAGGCTTTGACTGATATTGATGAATACCTGTAAACCCAGGTTGTCTCTCTCTACATCTGTGCTGCCAACATGAGGTTTCACTTCCTTGTACATGTGCTTTTCCCACTGATTGCAGTCAGCTAGCCTTTTTCCTGATGAAGACCATCAGACTCAAAGGTCCAGGATCTTTTGTTTCTGTGTAAAGTCCAGTTGTGGTGGAACATATGTACATGCATAAGCCACATGACCATGATGGGCATAGGGCTCCCAGACACCTGTCCCCTCAAGGTTGAGCTGTTCTGGGGACTTTTGGGGACCACTTGTGCTTCCTTTGAGCTGTTCTTTGATTTATTCCTTCCTTTTTTCTTTTTTTTTTTAATTTTTTATTTTAAAGATGTGAGGTACAATTAGGGTTAGGTATACAACTGTTCATTATGCAGGTACCTTTGTTGATGAGGTGTACCCCTCTCCCCTGGCAGTTTCCCACTACTGCCAATCCCTTTCTTATAGTATTATGATGTGTTCACGATCCGCTTATGAGTGAGAACATGTGGGAGAGAAAAACATTCACAAATGAAGAAAAACCAAAGGAAGAATATGGGTTTCACACAGACCCTGGGCAGACAAGAACTGAAAATAGAGATATCAGAACTCAAACAATGAAGAGCCCCCAGAATGACTGGTCTCAAACCACAAACCCAGATACCAAGGTATTAATAGAGAGAATAAATAGAAGTGAGGAGAGACAAGAAGAAGAATGAGGGAGTTGATAACTGAGATAACAGCAATAAAGGATACAGTGAATGCAATAAATAACACACTGATAAGCATAGGAAGCAGAATTAACCAAGCAGAAGAAAGAATCTCAGATCTTGAGGACCAAAATATGGGGAACTTACCCAAACTGTTAAAACATAGAAAACAAGCTTTAAAAGATAAAACAGGGCAACCCTTTAGGGTCCCCTCCCACTGTGGGAGATGTTCTCCCCTCTCAATAAATCCTGCTTAAAAAAAAAAAAAAGAACAAAGCCTCCAAGAGATGAGTGATTACACCAAGAGGCCAAACCTAAGATTAGAATCCCAAGACAGATAGAGAGACAGAGACTACCTTGGAACAAACATTCCAAGAAATTCAAGAAAACTTCCCTTATCTCATCAGAGGTGTCACCATTCAAACACAAGAGATTCAGAGAACCCCTACAAGACATCAAATGAGAAGACTAGTTCCCAGACACATAGTAATTCGCTTATACAAAGTAGGTATAAAAGAAAAAGTCCTAAGGGCAGCAAGAGAGAAAGTTCTGACTACCTACCAGGGAAGTCCATTTAGATTAGCAGTAGATTTATCTACAGAAATACTTCAGGCTAGGAGAGATGGGAGTCAATCTTCAAAGTTTTCAAAGATAAAAAGTTTCAACCAAGAATTACCTACCCAACTAAGTTTCATCAGCAATGGAGAATTAAAATCCTTCCCAGACATTCAATTTCTAAGAGTTTATGCCACCTCCAGACCAGCTCTACAAGAAACACTTAAGAAAGTATTAAACACGAGAAAGAAAAAGAATGACCATGTCCTTCCCAAGAATGCGGGAAAAGGATTGAAAACACACATAAATCAATCCAAAAATCAAAAGAAAGACAACAAATAAACAAACAACAGCAACAACAACAAACTCTATAAGAACCTCATGACAGGGATAAACTCTCACATCTCAATAATTAACCTGAATGTGAATGGACTAAATGCACCACCTAAAAGACACAGAATGGCAAAGTGGATAAAATATCATGATGCAACAATACGTTGTCTTCAAGAAACTCATCTCACCAAAAGGGACACTCCCAGACTCAAAGTAAGAGAATGGAAAACAAATTTTCAGGCGAACAAAACAAAAAAGAAAGATGGAGTTGCAATCTTAATATCAGACAAATTCCCGTTAAGCTATCAAAAATTTAAAAAGATACAGAAGGTCACAACATAATGATAAAAGGTTCAATTCATCAACAGGAAACATTCATCCTAAACATATATGCATCCAACATAGGAGCACCTACTTTCATAAACCAGCTTTTAGGTAAACTGAAAATATCTTACCGTTTTCTTGTGATGATGAATACAGGTGAACTAAGTTGTTGTTATCCATCACATCTGGAAGAGATCCCCTGTCCTTATTTTGAAAATTGCTCCCTTTGCTTCTATAGGGTTGTTGACCTCGGGGCCAATTGTTTACAGAGTTGAGTTAGTATTGATATGTATTAGTCTATCAAACTTACTTCATTTATGTACCCAGATCCCTGGGGAAATCTAAGTTGTGATGATCGCTGACTCTTAGCTCAGAAGGCTTTTCCACAACATCCTTGGATAACTCTGTCCCTAATCTGTTTAGTTCTAACTCCATAGATGATAAGGTTGAGCATGGGTGGTACCAGTAGATACAGATTAGCCAATAGGACGGGTACCAGTCGGGGCACATGGTGACCAAAGCGGTGGGTTAGGAAAGTAAAAAGGGCTGGGATATAAAAAGCCAAGATGACACAGATATGAGAGGCACACGTGCCAAAAGCCTTGAGGCAGGCTTCACCTGAGGGCAATCGAAGCACAGCTCTCAAAATCATTATATATGACATACTGATGACAACTATATCAAAGCCAACCACAGAGAAGGCCACAAAGAGCCCATATCCACGATTTATTCTAGTATCAGCACACACCAACTTCAGCACAGCCATATGCTTACAGTATGACTGGGGAATGACTTGGTTGTGGCAGAAGGGCATCCTAGACATCATGAAGCAGAAAGGGCTCACCCATAGCAGTCCTCTCATCATCACAGCAGCCCCTAGTTTGGTCACGACTGATGGGGTCAGGATGCTAGAGTGCTGGAGTGGGAAGCAGATAGCCACAAAGCGGTCTAAGGCCATAGCCATGAGTACCCCAGACCCCACAGAAGAAAAGGCATGGATGAAGAACACTTGGGTGAGGCAGGCATGGTAGTCAATCTCATGAGCATGAAACCAGAATATGGCCAACATTTTAGGTTGTGTGGAGGAGGAGAGGACCAGGTCAGTGACAGCCAGCATGGCCAGAAAGAGGTACATGGGCTCATACAATGTGTGGTCAATTCGGATTATATGAAGGAGAGTGATATTTCCAATGACAGCCACAACATACATGGCACAGAATGGAAAGGTAATCCAAAACTGGGAGTTTTCCAGACCTGGGATTCCAAGCAGCATGAAGAACACAGGATGAGAAGAGTTGTTCCCTGGAGACAGCACAATGGAATGGTTAATATGTTTTCTGTTGTGATGGTAATCTACACTCTGTAAATGATAGCAATCAAAGCAAGTATTATCATTCTTTGTAAGTTTTTTACAAGTCAGTCAGGTTTAAAGGTAAACTGGAATAATTTCATCTGTTTTGCTAAATGTAGTTTTGCAATATAAAACAATGCTACTTATTATTTATTTATGTTCATGTCATTCAAAAGGCAGTAAAAAATACCAGCTGTAATTGTAATTATTTTTAAGACAACATTTTTCTTGAAAATAGACTTTGCTAAATGCAAACCATTAATGCCAATAATGTCATAGTGATTCTTGCACTTATGTTTTTTAGAACTTACAGCCAATTTGTTCAATCTTTCCCACAGGTCTTTTTATCCCTCTGTTAAGCTGTTTGAGCAACTTTTCATAGTAGGAAGCTAATATAACCTACAGGCCTATAGCAATTTATGTATTGATGTTGAATTAGCTTTGACTCTAGGACTGTTACCTTGAGGGTTTGGTCTGAAAGATAACTTAAAGACCAATTGTACACCTGCAACTTAAAATATTCTCCTTAGTGTAGGCTCCTCCATATATAATATATATTAACATTACGGTATACAAGTCAGGATTAGGTACATAAATGACCTATGTACAGGTGAAGTTTGGGCTTCCCATTGGTCCTCATTTAGGCTCCTCCTAAATCAAAGGTTAGCAAACTGTTTTCTGTAAAAAGTCAGATTAAGAAAATTTGAGGAAATGTGTCATACTGTCTCTTTTGTGACTAGTTAGTTTAGCCATTGTGAAAAGAGCCATAGTCAATAAATAAATTTGTGAATGTGGCTATATTTCAATTAAACTTTATTTACAAAAACAAGTTGCAAGCAGGATTTGGTCTGTAGGCTATAGTTTGCCAATCCCTGTTCTAGATAATTTTTTTTATATTTAGTTACCTCAAAACCTTACACTTTTCCTTGTACCTCTGTGCTTTGTACAGAGCAGGAGTTTTTTTAAATGCTAAAGTAATAAATAACTATCATCATTCAGTGGCAACAGACTTATTAACTGATTAACAATAGACCCTTTATAACTCAATCTTGATTTCATGACCACAGGACAGTACTGACCATTTCTCCTTCAAGAGATTTCCCTGCTGTTAGTGACTATTGTGTGAATGTCATCCTCTGTCTGTACCTGCCTTACCTGGGGTGATTCCACCCTCTGATCTCTCTGGTGACGACTACCTATCTCAGAATGGATGGCACAAACCTAGGTTGGTTCTTACTCACCTTTTTGCTATTGAAACTCAGCAGTCCTGTGCTTTGGTTGGAAGCCTCAGTTCTTACCTCCCTCATAGCAGAAACAGCTGGGTAAGAAGAGTATCTCTTCAATTCCCCTTTAACAAGTAACCTCTGTCAACAAATATCTTCTTTAGCTAGACCAAATTGGTCCTAAAAAGGGTTTCTTCAGATCCAAAGAAAGGCCTAGACTCTTTCTAATTTTCTCCAGATTTATTTTTTTAAAAAGGGAGAAGTGGAACTTGGACTTTATAAGACCTGTTCTGTACCAAATTCTTAACTATTCTACCTAGATAATAGCTACAGGTTTGCTCAAAACAAGTAATCTAGCCAGGCTCGGTGGCGCAGCCTGTAATCCTGTGCCTTTGGGAGGCTGAGGTGAGTGGATTGCCTGAGCCTGCGGGTTCGAGACCCACCCGAGCAGCGAGACTTCATCTCTACAATAAATCAAAAAAATCAGCCAGGTGTGGTAGCGCATGTCTGTAATTCCGGCTACTTGGAAGGCTGAGGCGGAAGGATCGCCAGAGCCCAGCAGGTCGAGGCTGCGGTGGCTGGGAGCAGTCATTGCACTCCAGTCTGGGCGACAGAGTGAGACTCCAATTCAAAAAAAAAAAAACCAAGTAATCCTATCTAGAGTGTGGTGAAAATTTAAAACTACACTTAGCTGGGACTCTATTCCGTTTTGCCTGGTTTGGTATTTCCAAAATGTCTTTTATATTCTATTTGAGTCAGAGGCTCCCTCCTTACTTCTTTTTGCCCCATTTATTCACCTTGCATTTGTGGGGACACAGTCCCTCAGGCTCAGTGGACCCAGAAAATCATATTTAGACTATTCTCACTGCTGTGCCAGTCAATATAAGAGGTGTTGGGTAAAGGTACAGTTTCAATAAGTATATAATTATCGCTGATAAATTGTGGAAGGAGTTGCTATTTTTCAAGGTACATCACTACAGGCTTTTAAATATTATTGTTTTTAAGTCACACAAAACCTTTACATCCTCATTTTGCAGTCAGAAAAACAATTTAGTTACAGAATTTGCCCAAGATCACACAATACACAAGTGTCTGGGTATACCACTGTCCATTTAGTGCTCTTAGTGGTACACGTTAACCATGGTAGGTATTCATTGATTGGGAATGCCACCCTGGTTTGGTAATGCAGAGATTTTTGCCCTGCAGTGATAAAAGCAGATGCCAAGAGGACTTGCACAATTGTCTACTGGATTAAAGGTGGCTCTGAATTTGGACTCAGGACCCCTGCTACTTCATTGTATTGGACCCTCTAGAACAAGCTTGTACCTGGATACCTGGCATCTCTGGGCACTTGCTGCTTTCTCTGGAATGCTGTCTTTATTTGTTTTTGCTCATGAGTCATAATGGAGAACACTCCTGTTCTACAAACTCTTTTGGGGATGGTGACTCTCTCCATGACCATGTCTCACAATCTAGAGCCCCTTTCAAAATCTAGTTCCTCTCTTGCTTTTCACTCATACCCCAGACTGCCTCATGGCCTTTTCAAGCCTGAGCTCCCCCACAAAGTGACACCTCTCAGTCTTCTTCATTCCTCATTCTGCTAGCTCTGATTTTCCGCTCTCAGATTTTCTTTCTTTTATATGCAATGGAGGAGCAGAGAAGACCACCAATCTGAATTTTGAGATGGGAACTTTGACAAGTGGCACTTTTTCCTCTAGGCATTTCCTATTCTCATCTATATAAACTAGTGCCCTCCACTGTCAGAAATTCCCTTGTTTATCCTCCCTCACAGACTTTTGAATTTAACACATACAGAGTTAGTGCTAAAAGTCATATGGGCAAGGACTAAACTAATCCTCAGTCATTTTTGCCCAGTAGTGAGGTTTCAATAAGGGAAGCACAGATTATCAGCTTGCTGCTGGGTTGAAGGATGGAAATGTGCATTTCCCTAAGAGGTAGGAAAATGAACAATATAATTTGCCCTTTTGCCCAGCACTCTTTCCTCCTGTATACTGCTATTAAATAGTTTATTTTTCCCCCCACTGGCTAGAATTCTTATAAGGCTAGTTCATACTAACGTTGGAATTGTAAATTGTAATGTCCTTTTCAAACATTATAAGTAGGGCGATTACACTTTGAACTTCAGATTCAGCTTCTTTCCAAATAAAATCTAACTTGTAAAACCTGTGTGTAGTTTTTGTTTCGGGAAAATGATGACAAGAATCATGTTCTCCCATTGAGTAGGACTCAGTTTTTACCTATATGAATGGGTATGAGTTCAAGATACTACTGTTCACAGGTTCTGTTGGACTTCAATTACTCCACACATTATGTGAAAATAATTATGTCTTTCAGTCAGCCATGTTACTCAAGTCAGTGAAGGGATAAAGGGAAAAATTAAATGAGGTCTTGCTAAGGAATAGCTTCAGGGAAATTCAGACTGTTTTCTCACTTTGGAGTATCTGAAACTAAGGCGTATAGCAATAATGCTGGAGAGGGTGGGGCTCAGAGCCTACCTTCGTCATGGAGTTCAACACTGCATGGAAGCAGTTTTCCTACCTTGCTGGGGTATCCCTAGAGGACACTGTGGGAGCACTGAGTCTTCTCTCATTTCCAGATCAGTGGTCACAGATCTCTGGACCTGACGTCTGCATAGTGTTTTGCCTGCCTTTATGCTTCTTGGAGACTCTGTGAGTTCTACTGCTCTCTGGGAAGAACAGAGGTGCCTGAAGCACAAGGAATTACTCACCTTGAGTTCTGTCTGTGAACAGGCAGGGCATGAACAAAAGCAGATCTGACAAGCTCCTGGGATACAGCCTTTGGCAGAAACTTCAGATCACAGCCTGTTTAAGGGATTATATCTGCCCTTTCTCCTTCCTCAGTGGGACACAGGGGAAGGGTTAGTTCTTTCACTCTCATTGAGTCCCACTGTCTTTTATCTACACTGGCTTCCTCTGAGTCAGGAGACTCCAGCTAGAAGCATTAACCCTTATATTTCCTTTCTCTTCTGTATACACAAATTAAAAGCAGGATGTTTGAATGCACATGCAAGAAGGTGTGTTGTTAAGATCACATGAGTTTTTTCAGTCTGAGAATGTATGTATGTCCAGTTGAAGAGATATTTCATGCAATATGAAAGTGTGTTGAAACATTATGTAAGTTGATGTGTGTATCTGAGAGGTATATGCATCAGTGATTGGATCTGCATATAAGTGTGTATGTGTATAAGCATGTGCATATGTGAAATTATGAATTATTGTTCAAGTATGTGTAATTAGTGTGCTACCATCATGCTGTGAGACAAAGTCACAGAATTCACATGCTTTGTGAAGACATCTGCCTAGTTATGTACCTGATATACCTCACAAAATATAAAACTCAGCATACATTTAAGAAAGAAAAATGACACACAAACTACTAGAGTTCTCAGGTTACATTAATGTGGCTATATCATCATCATAGTCACAAAGGTCATTTTTTTTACATTTTAAATATCAGGATCACAAAATCAGAAGTATAACATTTCTGCAAGAGAGTCCAGATTACAGGAAATATTTATTACTTCGGAGATCAGGTTGACATACATTGGGATTTTGGATTTAATCTCTGGTTGCAAATTTTCTTTTGTTTCTTTTAGCTTCAGTTTGTAACATATCAGTGTAATGAAAACAGAATCAAGTTGTACAAAAGCAGGCTATGAGCTGGATTTGCCTCTACATGTAGTTTGCATGTGTATGTGAATATAGCTTGTACAGATAATGCTATGTGGATCCAAGTATTGTACTACCATGAAATGTTAAGTGTATTAAAATTATCTGCACTGGTATTCAAGTCATATGTGTGAATGTGTCAACATTCAAGTAATAAAGTATGTGTGTATAAGTGTTTAGAGGTGTGTGAATTTATTTTTACTACCGTATAGAAGTGTAAATATGTGCATTCTGTGTGCATGCACACCTATTTTTATAGGCTTATATGGAAGTATGTGCATGAGTGAAACTGGATAAGCATCCATACATCCATACTCAGATCCTATATGTGCATTTTTTTAATGCCCACTGCTGTGTGGAATTTACCTATGAAAATATAGATGTAAAGATGGAGTGACATCATGCCCTATAGTGTTGTAACACATTTTGGGACCATCTATTTATTTGGATTATCTGCATCCCTTTCCACTTCTAAATAATGACTATTATTTTCTGAAGGTGTGCCTCTTTTGTATAGGACAATGGACATTGTATTTTGACCAGTGGAGAGTGGTTTCCACCTGCAATGGCTGCTCAGAGTTGAAGCATGAGTTCACATAGAATTAGGAAGTGAGCTGAGAAGTATTTCTATTAGTGCACAAATCTAACTTTTATTTTCATCATTGGCCTCTATTGCTGCTTATTGCTACTGTAACAAATTACCACAAACAGTGACCTGAGAAAACACAAATCTATTATATTTCATTTTTGGAAGTCAGAAGTTTGAAACAGGTCTCATTTGACTAACAAACTGTCAACAGGACTGAATTTTAGGAAGCCCTGGGGAAAACTTCTTGGAAACTTGACCCTACAGTGGATCAAGTCTTTCTCATATCACATCACATCATTCTGACATCGAAGCTTCTGCCTACATCTTTCACATTTAAAGGAACCTGTGATTACATTAGGATCACTCAAGTAATCCAGGATAATCTCCTTATCTTGAAGTCATTTTATTAGCAAACTTACCTCCATCTTGTCACATAACATGTCACATTCACTTTCCAGGAATCAGGTCATTAACCTCTAGGAGGTTATTATTCTGTCTACAACAGTCCCTGGTTTTTAAAGTAGAAGTGAGCATTAGAGAATTGTCAAAGAAACCAAGCTAAAGGATTCCAGAACACATGGGAGCTACTTCTTGATAATCACCAAAATTGCAAAGAGCAAAACACTAATTGTTAAACATAATAAAGAAGAATCATAATCTAGATTTCTGAAGTTAGCATAGAGAAATTAGGATTACAACATAATTCAATGAATTTAACCTTACAAGTTCTGATTATAGGATATATTCACAGCACTTAAAAATTAAGTTCGCACAAGTTTCAGCAAAGCAAAAGAAACCATTAAGAGAGCAGACAGACAGCCCATAGAATGGGAAAAAATATTTGCCAACTGTATATCTGACAAAGGCCTAACATTTAGGATTTATAAGGAACTCAAATGTTCCAAAAGGAAAAGCACAAACAGCCCCATTAAAAAGTGGGCAAAATACATGAATAGACATTTCTCAAAAGAAGATATATGGGCAGCCAACAGACACATGAAAAGTGATCAGCCTCACTCATCATCAGAGAAATGCAAATCAAAACCACATTGAGATACCAGCTAACCCCAGTAAGAATGGCCATCATTAATAAAACAAACAACAAGATGCTAATGAGGATGCGGAGAAAAAGGAATGCTTCTACACTGTTGGTGGAAATGCAAACTAGTGCAACCTCTCTGTAAGACAGTGTGGAGGTCTTTGAAAGAACTAGACATTGACCTTCCATATGACTCAGCAATTCCCCTATTGGGTATATACCCAGAGGAACTCAAATCATTCTACAAAAAAAGATACCTGCACACGTATGTTTGTTGCACTCTATTCACAATAGCAAAAACATGGAACCAGCCATGTTGCCCATCAAAGCTGGACTGGATTAAAAAAATGTGGTACATATACACAAGGGAATATTATGCAGCCATAAAGACAAACAAACATATGGACTTCACATAACTTGGATGGATTTAGAGTCGATCATACTCAGTGATCTATCACAGAAACAAAGAACGGACTACCATATGTTCTCACTCATAAGCGAACCTTGAACAATTATACTGCTATAAGAAAGGGATTGGCAGGGAAACTGTTGGGGGGATGGGACTGGCAGTTGAGGGAAACTGCTAGGGGAGGGAGAAAACATACCCCATCAATAGAGTACCTCCGTAATCAACG